TTAGGTAAACTCTTAGAATGGAAATTTTAGATCAAAGGCTTTATAAAGTACCATACATAACTTCTCTGTAGAAAGGTCACACAATGCTAGTCCTACACCATGAGCACAGGCACTTCTGCACAACACATCTGAACTGATGGTTAGATTTGTGATTTTTTGCTGCCTTTTTCTCAGTTTTCTTCCAGTCTTCACTTGGGCACTTCACCCCTGGATTCTGTTCTTCTGCAGAGCTAAGCTGATTCTTCACCAAGATTCATGCGTTCATATGGTTTGAAATGAGTTTTATCTCTAGACAAGTAAATGTAAAAATCACATATAATAATACTACTGACCAAAGATAACCATCATGGACATTTTGACACAGTATCTTTTCTCTAGATTGTATTAGATTTAAATGTGAGTAGGTGTATTTTGTTGTTCCTTCTTGTTTCTTGTGTTCGACCTGGGAGAATTCCTTTGCTGAGTGTTCCAGCTTATTTGCTCTTCATATGTGTCCATGCTCTTCTCATCAAGTTACTTTCTTTCTGTAATTATATATTTTATAACTTTCTATATATCTCAATATTTTTATAACTATATGTATTTTATCTCCATAAAGAATGTGTCTTCCTATAACCATATATATTTTATTTTCTAGAGTTTTAATTAGTTCTTTTTCTCATTTCAGAATGTAATATTTAAACCCTAGAGAATGTTAACTCTGATTTTTTTGTACTGAGATATAATTGGCACATAACATGTGTTAGTTGCAGGTGTACAATATAATGAATTGATATTTGTATGTACGGCAAAATGATCTCCCCAATAAATGTAGTTAGTAGGCATCACCACACTTAGTTATACATGTTTTTTCTTGTGATGCGAACTTTTAAGATCTACTGTCTTAGCAACTTTCAAATATACAATAGAGTATTAGTAACTAGTCACCATGCTGCAGATTACTTTCCCCAGGAATGATTTACAGCTGGACGTTTATACCTTTTGACTGCGTTTTACCTATCTTACTCACTCCCGCCATCCACCTCTGGCAATCACAAATGTGTTTTTTGTATCTGTGATTTCATTTTTTAAATTTTTTATTTTACATATAAATGATATCATACCATATTTGTCTTTGTCTGATTTATTTTACTCAGTATATTGCCTTCAAGGTCTATCCATGTCACAAGTGGCTGGGTTTATATGGATGAATATTCCTTTGTGTTTGTGTATGTGTGACATTTTCTTCATTCATTCATATATTGATGGACAGTTAGGTAGCTTCCATGTCTTGGTTTACTTTAAATAATGCTGTAATAAACAGCATTTGATGTAGTCTAGCTTGTTTATTTTTTCTTTTATTGCCTTTGCTTTTGATATCAGATCCAAAAACTCATCACCAAGACCAATATCAAGAAGTTTATCACCTGTTTTTCTTCTAGTTTTATCATTTCATATGAAGTCCTTGTTCCATTTTGAGTTAGTTTTTTGTATGGTATAACACAGTGGTCCAGTTTTATTCTTTTGCATGTGGCTGTGCAGTTTTCCCAACATCATTTATTGAAAAGACTTTCCTTTTTCCATTATATATTCTTGGCTCCCTTGCCTTAAATTAATTGAACATATATTTGTAAGTTTATTTCTGGGCTCTTGATTCTGGTTCATTGATTTATGTATCTGTTTTTGTGTCAGTACCATACTGTTTTGATTACTATAGCTTTGCAACATAAGTTGAAATCAGCAACCATGATGCCTCCTCCAGCATTGTTCTTCTTTCTCAAGATTGTTTTGGCTATGTGGGGTCTTTTGTGGGTCCACACAAATTTTAGCATTCTTGTTTCATTTCTGTGAAAAATACCATTGGAATTTGGATAGGGGTTGCATTGAGTCTGTAGATTGCCTTAAGTAGTATGAACATTTTCAAAATACTAATTCTTTCAGGACATGAGCACAGAATACCTTTCCATTTATTTGTGTCTTTTCCAATTTATTTTATCAGTGTTCCAGAGTATTCAGTGCACAAGTCTTTCACCTGCTTGGTTAAATCGATTCCTATGTTTTTTACTATTTTCAGTGTAATTGTAAATAGGGCTGTTTTCTTAATTGTTTTTTCTGATAGTTTGTTATTAGTGTAAAGGAAACAGATTGTTGAATATTGACTTTGTATCCTGCAACTTCACTTAATTTGTTTGTTCTAACAGTTTTTAGGTGGACTGTTTAGGGCTTTCTATGTTTTACATTGTGTCATCTGCAAACAGTGACAGTTTTACTTTTTCCTTTCTGATTTAGATGACTTTTATTTATTTATTTTTTGCCTAATTGTTCTGGCTAAGACTTCTAATACTGTGTTGAATGGAAGTGGTGAGAGTGGGCATCCTTATCTTGTTCCCAATTTCAGAGAAAAAGCTTTGTGCTTTTCACCATTGAGTATGATGTTCATGGTAGAACTGATATGGCCCAAATGTGGCCGTTATTATGTTGAGCAACATTCCTTTTATATCCCTTTGGTGAGAGTTTTTATCTTGAATATATGATGGATTTTGTCGAGTGTTTTTCCTGTATCTATTGAGATGACTATAAGTTTTTTGTCCTTCATTTTATTAATGGTGGTATACCACACTGATTGATTTGTGGATGTTAAATTATCCTTGTATCCCTGGAATAAACCCCACTTGATCTTGGTGTATGAGCCTTTTAATGTATTATTAAATTTGGTTTGCTACTATTTGTTGAGGATTTTTGCATCTATGTTCATCTAACTCAGAATTTCAAAAGAATCATCTTCTTTTACCTCTCTCACTTCTTCCTCTTTCCTTTCTCTATTTATGGAATTTATCTTTCTTTCTCAGCACTGTCTTTAAATGTTTGCTGATTCTGTGCTATCCTGGCCTGGCTGCCACTGCTGTTTCTGCTTATGCTGGTTGCCCCTGAGGTTGTGGACAGGGACATGAGGTCTTGCTAGGCTTCTGGGCTTCAGGGTTCCCGTGTCTCCTGAGCATCAGCAGCTTACTCGAGACTCCCCCCACCCACTTTGGCTAGTGTAAGCACTCTATTTTGGGGGTAAACGCTGCTGCCTTCTTCCTGCTTCTAGGAATGAGAAGAAGGCCAACTTGCCCAACTTATCCAGCTATAATTCTGCAGAAAGGCAACCTCCTTAACATAACCAAGGACCCTTCTACTCCCTGTCTATGTGACTGCTAAGCATGGTGCATGCTCGTCACCCTCCCACTTTGTACAGAACCTTCTTCCGTGTGTGCTTTGGCTTGTGGTCTCCTCATTCCATTTTATCTCCCCCTGCTTTCTGTCTTTCAGTATTTCTCCACTTTTCTGGGCCATCAAAGACATTCTTTCTTGCCTTTCAATGCTATTGTGGTTTTTGAAAATTAATTAATTTTTTTAAAAGATTTTATGTAGTTGGAGAGGTTGTGGGGAAAAGGGGACCTTAGTTCACTGTTGGTGGGATTGTAGAGTGGTACAACCATTATGGAAAACAGTATGGAATTTTCTCAGAAAAATAAAAATCGACCTGCCTTTTGACCCAGCAATTCCACTGCTAGGATTATACCCCAAGAATCCTAAAACATCAATTTCAAAGAACCTATGCACCACAATGTTCATAGCAGCACAATTTACAATAGCCAAGAGCTGGAAGCAACCTAGGTGCCCATCAGTAAACGAATGGATCAAAAAATTGTGGTACATATACACAATGGAATTCTATGCAGCAGAGAGAAAGAAGGAGCTACTACCCTTTGCAACAACATGGATGGAACTGGAAAGCATTATGCTGAGTGAAATAGGTCAGGCATTGAAAGACAAATACCATATGATCTCACCTTTGACAGGAAGCTAAAGAATAAAACAAACAAGCAAACAGAATAAAAATAAAGACACTGAAATAGAGAACAAGTGGGCAGCGACCAGAGGGGAGAGGGAAGGGAACTTAAGGGGAAAAAGGGGGAGGGATTTTGAGGAACAAGTATGAAAGACACAGGGATGAGGACTGGGGGGGAGGAAATGGGAGGGAGGGGGGAGACAGAGTGGGGGGGTGGGATGGGAGAAATAGATTAAAAAATGTACTTGAAAAGTAACTAAATAAAATTTATTATAAAAAAAAGATTTTATTTATTTATTTTTAGAGAGAGAGGGGAAAGGAATGAGAAAGAGATGGAGAGAAACATCAGTGTGTGGTTGCCTCTCAAGATGCCCCCTCCTGGGGATTTGGCCTACAACCCAGGCATGTGCCCTGACTGGGAATCGAATGGGTGACCCTTTGGTTCATAGGCTGGCACTCAATCCACTGAACCACACCATCCAGGGCTAATTATTTTATTTTTAGAGAGAGGAGAAAGGAGGGAGAAAAAGAGGGAGAGAAACATCCAATGTGTAAGAGAAACATTGATCGGTTACCTTTCGAACACCCTCAAGTGGGGACCTGGCCCACAACCCAGGCATGTGACCTGACTGGAACTGAACTGGTATCCTTTCAGTCTGGGGGATGATGCCCAACCCACTGAGCTACACCAGTCAGGGTGGGGTTTTTTAAATATCCTATTATTTCTAGAAATTTTTGGTGGATTGGAGGAGTCAGTTTAGTGCATAATCTAAACCAGAGTATCAGGACCTATGAGTTAATTATTAAGAGCATAGTTCTGGGGTCAAATGCAAATGATTTTCATTCTCAAAGCATCCTCTTACTAGCTGTGCCACTTGAAGCAATTTTCTCAATCTCTTCGAGCCTCTCTTTCCTTATCTGTTAAATGGGGGTCTTTATTATTGTGACTCTTCAATGAGCTTATGCACAGAAAGCCCTAAGCAGAGCCCCTAACAGAGTGAACACTGAGTATCTAATGTTTTGGTTATTTTTATCATTGTTTTTATTCTTATGTTTCTAACTAAAGTAGCCTTGTGAGTTGAGATCTACAAAAAGCTCCTTTTCCATGCATCTTATTTGGACTCAGCCCTTCCCCTGGCCTCACCAAAACCAAGTAGGCTGACACTTCCTCCTCTTCTCCCTACAGCTCAGCTCCATCAGCTGGAGGGGCTGAGGACCATCGGTGTCACCACCAACGGCATCAACCTAGCCCGGCTACTGCCTCAGCTTCAGAAAGCTGGCCTGAGTGCCATCAACATCAGCCTGGACACACTGGTGCCAGCCAAGTTTGAGTTCATCGTCCGCAGGAAAGGTGATCAGATGCAACTCACAGGAGAGGGTGTCCCTCCAAGGTCCCTGTAACTGAGAGCTGGGGCTGGGGCCATGATGAGAGGCCTAGTATCTCGCTCTTGGTATCTGGGCTATAAATAAGCCTAACTTCACCCCTCACCGGGACCAAATGTCCCTTGCCTTTATAGCCACATCCCTGGGGACTTTTGGGGATCAGATGCTAAGAGCTATGGTGGCCATGCCTACCATGCCTTTCCCCCTACCCCAGGACTAACAAGGTTTCAAGAACTCAAGACTTTCCGTTTTAAAACAAGATAGTCCCTGGCACACTGGGATGAGTTGGTTATAATGAGCTCTGAAGAAATGCGGGGCCTCACAGGGCAGAAGCAGCTGTCCTGAGGTGCCTGCACTGCCAGGTGGGTGCCCCGGCACCCCCAGTGGTGCTCTCTGTGCCCATCCTGGATATACACCTCTCCCTTTGCCCTCTGCACAGGCACTTCCTCAGCCACCTCCCTGGGCTTCCTCAGGGAAGGTGGGGCTGAAGAGGTGGACTGGCCAGAGCCCTGGGTCTCATTAGGCCACCACCCTCTCAGGTCCCTCGAGTCTTGGGCCTCATGTTGGGGCAGAGGTTCTTATCTAACAGTGTGACTCCCTGTGCTGTGCTGAGGGGGTCACACCCCTCCATGTGCTGAGGAAGTACTTGTGAGTCCTTGCCCTCTGCAAAGGGCTGCTCCAGGCACTAGGGAGACATTGCCATTGCCCTGTAGGACAGCCTACTAAGGTACAAAAGGTGTGATGCCACTAGATTTAGTTGTCTAGTGGTGTCAGTTAAAGTAGCACAGAGAGGGAGAGAGAACTCCCGCTTGGGGAGACCTAGAGGGCTTCAAAGAGGAGGCAAGAGCACTGGGCCTTGAGCAACTGGCGGGGAGGTGTTGGGGGGACAGGGATTCATATCCAGTGAGCTTACTCTGAGGGGGAATTTCAGCTGAGGACCAGCCAGAGCTCTGAGGTAGGAAAGTAGAAGGTGTGTCTGTGGGCTTTACCCTCCCCACCTCCCCACACATCTGTATCCCCCACATCCCCCCAGCCCAGGACTGGGGACTGTGTGCCCTAACACTGGATCTTCCTCCCCATTCAGACTCCCGTGTCCACTGCCTCCTATTGGAGGAGAGAGTGCTTTACAGAGGAAAGAAGTTCTAGATGATCCTAGAGCCACATTTTGTATGAGAGGTGCACATTCCTCCCTGGGCCATCCAGAAATGCTGCAAGGATACCAGGGAGGCCATGCCCAGGCCACCCTCCCTCAGCATGATGTCCTGGCTGGGAAACACACATGATCACCAAACTCTGCAGGCAGGGGATGGGATGGGCCAGTATCAGTAAATGCTCGAATGTTTGGATACAGGAGTGAGCCAGAGTGAGGACAAGCCAGCCTGGGGTTAAGCACAAAGATAGATAAGAACCACATGCATAGGAAATGCTCACCAGCCCTGGAACAACTCCTGTGCACAGTAGGTGCTTGTTGGGAATATGCAAATTGTATGAACAGACAAGCTATCGAGGAGAAAGCCTTGATAAGGAAGTCAGGAAACCTGCGTTCTGAGAGATGCCGCATAATGCTTCCAGCAGGACACTGCTTCTCTCTGGGGCCTCCGATTCCTCCTGTAGACCAAGAGGGCTCACACTGTGACCCAGGGGCCAAATCAGGTCCCTGCTTGCTTTTTAACTGCCTGTGAATTAAGTATGGATTTTGCAACTAACATTTGCAATCAGTTTTAATGATAGGGAACATTAACTTAACTATGAACCCAAGTCAAGCAAAATATTATCCCTATAAAAATAATTCATTTCTTTCATTCCATATGTAGACCTATATTATAAAAATATACTCAATTATTATTATATTCTGAGTTTTGTCAATAAAATCTGTATGAATAAACCTCCATAATATCATCAGTTTTGTCACTTGGCCTGCAAAACCTAAAATATTTACAATCTGCCCCTTTACAGAGAATGCTTGCCAGTCCCCGGACTCAGGGGTCTCTGAGACTCTGTGCAGCTCTGGCACTTCCTTTCCCTGTGGGTGTGAGGGGGCCCGGGAGAGGGAGGAGTTTCCTGGACTGTTTCTCTTGCTCCCTGCAGGTTTCCACAAGGTCATGGAGGGTATCCACAAGGCCATCGAGCTGGGCTACAGCCCTGTGAAGGTGAGGACATGCCACTGCTACTGGCCCTTGATTTCCTGTCCCTTCCACCATGGCTTGGCCTTTCCCTATCAGCTCCCGGCCCATCTCAGCTCCATGTCCCCCCACCACACCTCCTTATCTACTGCATCCAGCTCTGCCCTTCACCCCACAATGGAGGAGGGAAATGTGGCCCCATGGGATCCCCCAATCCAAGGAGCCCTGTAGGGTAAGGCAAGGATTGGGACCTCCAGTGGAGAGCCAAGGCAAGTTCTGGATCTTCAAAGGTCATCCCTGCAAAACCTGGGGAACAGCCCTCATGGTCCCTTTGTCCCCTGGGTAGGTGAACTGTGTAGTGATGCGAGGCCTGAACGAAGACGAGCTCCTGGACTTTGTGGCCTTGACCGAGGGCCTCCCCCTGGATGTGCGCTTCATAGAGTACATGCCCTTTGATGGTCAGTGATGGGTGTGGGGGGGGGGGAGAGGAGGCTGGGCCTGTCAACAGAGCATGGGGACCCTGGGAAGGGTGGAGTGGGGCGGTGAGGTCTGGCTTGCACTGTAGGTGCTGCTGACCTCAAACTGTGCTGTGTATGCAGAAATGTCTACAGGGGTGGTGGGGCGGGGCCCAGGCAGGTGCTAAGACTAGGGCTACAATGGGGCATCAGAGGCTTTTCAGGGAGGGCCACCTGACCTCGACTCCGAGAGAACTGATTCCTGGGCTGTGTGGGAGGACGGGCTTCCCCTGCACTCCTACAGCACTGTGACTCAGAGGCCTCCAACCCCAATACAGGCAACAGGTGGAACTTCAAGAAGATGGTCAGCTACAAAGAGATGCTGGACACCCTCCGGCAGCAGTGGCCAGAGCTGGAGAAGCTGCCTGAGGAGGAATCCAGCACAGCCAAGGTTGGGGGGCAGCCTGGGGGCTGGGTGGGGAGGAAGGTCCTGCCTCCACCCTAGGATGGGAGAGCTGGCAGGGGCCATACTGAGGTCGAGTGCAGTGATTCAGGACAGTACCATTTAGCAGGAAGCGTGTCAGTACCGTCACAGCAGCCTCCCTTCCCCTAGATACAGAGGCAGACCAGCCATGGGACAGGGCTTGAGTGACTTGCCCTAGGACACACTCCAGTGAGTGGCGGAGGGGGTGCTCAGTCTTCTCTCCCCGGGGCCTGCTCTGGCCGTGTTGCCCACAGGTCCCCGTGTGCTCGGCAGGTTTGCTCTCAGGCAGACCAGGCACAGGCAGAGAGCTCATCCCATCCATGTACCACAGTCTTCTGTTGTCTGAGGGTCTTGGGTGTTCCCTTCCAAAGGGCTGCACTGCAGAGGGCCGTGGATTGGGGGCTCTGATGCCAGGGAGTGAGAGCTGACGCTCAGGGGCCATCTCCTCCCATGTCCCCTCCACTGCCCTTCTTTCTCTCCTTGCCCAGGCCTTTAAAATTCCTGGCTTCCGAGGTCAGGTGAGTTTCATCACATCCATGTCTGAGCATTTCTGTGGCACATGTAACCGGCTGCGAATCACAGCTGATGGGAACCTCAAGGTGAGTATCCCCTTCCTCACCTCTGTGTTGTGAAAGTCTTCCTGCCAGTGCCCCCTGATTGGAGGGGAGACCAGCAGGGCACACAGGGTGGTTGGTGCAACTGGGTCAGATTTGTGGAGGGCATGTGGGGGGGGGCAGCAGGGGAAGGGCTCATGGCCCCTGTGGAACCATCACCCTGATTCTTTCCCTTCTTCCTTGGGTCCCTGAAGAAACTTGCAGCTCATTGGGTCCAGTTTCCAGGACTCAGTGCTACCACTTTGAGGGTGTGAAATGTCACTGTGCACTCTGCCAGTTCTGAAACCAGCCTCCATTACTCATGTCTAAGAGTGTGTGCTGTCGTTCTGTCCTGGGGGCAGAGAACAGGGAGGCATAGGCCTTCCCCTGCCCTTTGGGGGCACAGAGCCTCCTTGGTGAGACCAGACAAAGCTGATCATGTGTGTGAGTGCAGGATGCCGTGTCAGCCGAGGGGCCCAGCAGATCATAAGGGGGGTGGACTTCGGTGAGCCTTGAAGGGTGGCTGGGGTAGAAGTGAGGGCAGGAGGAGGCATATCTGGGGTTCATCCTAGTATGGCCAGGACAGAGTGAAGTCAGATAGGGGAAGAAACATTGTGGGGGCTTGAATGCGCAGGCGGAAGGGGCACAGTGTTCTGTCGACAGTGGTGCACTGTGCAGTTTCTGAGCATTGGGGAACAGGATTCCCACTGGTGTCTTAGGAGGAATAATCCACAGGTTGAATGTGGAAATTGGAAGCCTGGTTAGATGACCATTTAGCAATGTCCCAAATATGTAAGAGTGTAAGGTGAAAATGAGAAGGGGGGATGAGGGCACTTGGTCGGGAAGAGAGAGAGGCATCCAGGTAGCTGGTCAACTTCTGGAGCAGGTTAGGATTGAAGTGGAGGTGGGGGTGAAGGTGGGTTGGGTTCAGATCCAAAAAAAATCATCCTAAGATATTCCAAGAGCAGTAGCTGTCCCCACCCCCGGGGGGCAAGAAACCAGAACAGGGGAGGCAGTGTCACTGGGGCCCAGTGAGAGCGGGAGGCTGGCAGAGTGGCCTCCTGGTTGGTGTGCTAGTTATGGAGGGAAGCAGCCACTCCAGCAAGTCAGAATAGGGAGGAAGCAGGGAGCAAACACCCAGCCTCTTTCCTCTCTCCCTCTTATTGCTCATCAGCCACACCCAGGTGGAAGCCAGCTGGAGGGGGACCTGGAAGGTGAAGTTCACAGGGGCGGCAGAGAGTGTCCCCTGGGGCCTGGTTGGGGAGTGAGGGATGGGACTAACCAGCGCAGTGAAGTAGGCGTTCCTACCTCTGTTTAGATCACATTCCTGTCTTCTCTGGTGGGTTCTGCCCTCAGGGGCTTCTCAGACATTCTTCTGTCTCTGAGTCCACAGTCCCCTGTATGGAGCTGGCACACAGTAGGTTTTGTGGGAGGATGGCAGGTATCTTCCCCCACAGAACTGCCTTACTTACCTGTGGGCCCCCCAGAGCACTCAGCCTCTCTAAGAGCTGGGGAGCACTGAGTCAAGTTTGAATGGGCTCAGGATGCCATGCCACCAGCCCTCTGCTGACCTGCCCCCAGTCAGGGGTCACAAACTGGACTAGGACAGGGACATGTGGGCAATGTCTATGAGGCAAGGGCCCAGGAAGGAACTGAAAGGAATGGAACGTGCATGTCCAGAGGCAACTGCCAGGACTCAGCTCCAACTAACTGTGGTCCTCTCATGGCCATGAAGTGGCCATTTCATGGAATGTCTAGGAAAAGGTATGGATCTGGATTTTGATGTGCTCTCTCTGTTGCCAACTCTTTAATTTTGTAAAGTACAGTCTACAAGCTGAAGGTGACATGATTGTAAATCAGAGACAGGCCTTGCATGTCTGATTTTGCTTCCTGACATTCAGCATCTCTAACTCCTCCATCCTCTGCCCATCACTGTGGGAAGTCCTGCCTGACTATGCCCTGGCCGTGGGAGGTCTGAGCACTGGTGCTCAGACCATGGGGGTCTTTAAGGTTGGGGCCAAGGCTCAGGGGTAAATGCATGTCATCCTTGCCCCCATGATGACCCCACAGGTCTGCCTCTTTGGGAACTCAGAGGTATCCCTACGGGATCACCTGCGGGCTGGGGCCTCCGAGGAGGAGCTGCTGAGAATCATTGGGGCCGCCGTGGGCAGGAAGAAGCGGCAGCACGCAGGTAAGGGGCAGGAGTGGGGAAGGCAAGGCCCTTGGTGAGTCGGTCGCTGTCAGCAGGAGGGATGCCATAGTTTGGGTTGAGAATACAAAGGACAGCCAGGCAGGGAGCCAGGGGAGATTCAGTGTTGTCCTTGCTCCCAGTCACCCCCTTTGGGCCCCTAGGTCTTGGGTGTGTTGATGGTTCTCCTCTTCGGGAAGCTGACACAGCTGAGGCTGTGCAGGAGAGGGGGCACTGAATTCTCTTGGGCTATTTTATTAGGTGGAGAAAAAGGGGTGTTACTGCCCCTCTTTCTTCCCACACATTGCCTTCTGTCAGGAGGGCAGGTCCTGGCATCCACAGGCTTCTAGGCTCGGTCATGGGTGACCCTGCAGTACACAGTGGGGGCTTTGTCAGGTGCTCATAGATGAGTGTGCGTGCGTGCGTGGGTTGTCACTCCACTGTGTCCATGTTTGTATCACTGAACCCTCCTCCCCCGCTTTCTCTCCCCTTCCTGCTCTCCTGTACTCCCCATCTTCCCCTCACCCCAGGCATGTTCAACATCTCCCAGATGAAGAACCGGCCCATGATCCTCATCGGTGGGTGACCCAGCAGTACGTAACCACTCACCCTTGTCATTGGGGGCTCCTGTGGGGTGGGGCTCCTGCCATGAGGCACCCTTAGATCCTGCATTTCACCCTGATATTCTCAGCCTTATTTTTCTTAAGTTTCTCCTTCATCCTCTCATACCCCTTTGTGCCTTTACTGCTTCTGTTCTTTCCTGTGCATGGCTCCCCCTCACTAAACCTGTCATGAAAATAATCTTTTGATCTCACCAGAAATCAGGGTGCAGTCCTTTAGATTTAATGATCACTAAGTTGTTCTCTGAATAAGAGAGAGACCCTGTCCTCAGCTCTAGAATGTCCCAGGTTGGGTACAGTTCCCCTGTGCATTATGGGCCTGCTCAGGGTGCATCTGGACCATTAGCACCCATTGGGCAATGTGTTCTGAGCTTCTGTGTGGGGCTGAGCTTGGGGCAGCCAGCTGAAGACGCTACTCATTTTGTCAGGGAAGACACAGCCAGGGCCTCAACTTCCTAGTTCCCTAACTCCCGGAGACCTGAGTGATTACGACATCTCTCGTTAAACAGAGGATGCTTCAAACAAAAACATCTTTGTCACAGGGCTGTGGTCTCCTGCCTGGGGAACAGGATGAGCTGGTCGGAGCTTCAGGGGTGCTGTTACCCTCTGGCACAAGGCCCAGACTAGAGCAGGGCATCCTTGCCTCCTTGGCCACAGTGAGACCTGGGCCCCTGAATTGTACTGCTAGGCAAGAGAAAGCAATGAGAAAAACTAGGGGAAGGGATACTTTTCTGCAGAGGCTGGAGCAGAATGAGCCCACAGCACAGAAGGGAGTAGGTTGCAGTGGGGCGGACAGCCCAGGGACCACCCTTCCACATTAGCCACCCAGAGAAGGAAAGGCCACTCACCAAAGAGCTTCACTGGGAAGCAAACTTGATCATCTCTTGTCCCCACCTCCAGCATCATAGTCCACTTGTTGGGCCTTGAGCCACGCTGGGACAGCTTGATGGCAAGGGGTGGGGGATGCCTTGATGGCCCCCTTAGAAGAGAGCATGTGCTTCTGACATTGACAAGGTAGGGTGTCCAGAGCATGATGGAAAGCTGGAAGTTGAGAGACCTGTTTGGCCTCGTTAGGTATATGGTTACTCTGCAGGATATAGAATAACTAGTCTGGTTTCTAGAAACCAAGAGGGCCTGTCTGGATTTCATGAATCATTGGGGATTTTGTTATGTCAGATGTAGATTTGGGAGGTCTGAGGTGGGATTCTGCTTCTCTAACAGTTCTCAGGTGGTGCTTGGTGCTGCCGGTCCGCTGACCACCCTTTGAGTGACAAGAGCCTGTGAGGTTCCTAAGGCCCTGGGGACTGTGGGAATCAGCCTGTCCTTCTGTATGCACTTCCGATGTGCTTGAGGAGGCTTGAAAGACATTGTTTAAGTAGATTAAATATTTCCAATAGTAGCTAGTCTGTCAATGATATGATTGTTATTAATTGGTCATAGAGAATGTGAAGATGAGAGGGCCCATAATTGCTAATTCAGGCTGGGACCTCACTGTTAGTTTTCTTAATGGAGTGACATAGGGAGGTCATCTGATCCAGGCTTCAGTCTTCAGATCTTAGGTGTTTCTTTTTTTTTAAATATTTTATTTATTTGTTTACTTACTTATACAGAAAGGGGAAGGGAGGGACAAAGAGGGAGAGGAACAGCAATGTGAGAAACATCAATTGGTTGCCTCTCGTATGTGCCCCAACCAGGGACTGAACCTGCAACCCAGGCATGTGCTCTGACTAGGAATCTAACTGACAACCTTTCACTTTGCGGGATGACAGCCAACTGAGCCACACCAGCCAAGGCTAGGTGTTTCTTAAGAGAATTTTTGTGAGGAGGGCAGCCCATGTACCTCCCACACCACCACTACAGGACAGTCAGAAACTGGTGGGGCTGTTTGTCTGGTGTAGCACCTAATAAAGGCTGTACACTTGTGTTCTGGGGACCCTCCATCTGTGCACCTTCTGTTTTATCTCTTCTCACTTTGCTTTTTGTCCTTCATTCCTCTTTCCCCAGTGTGAAAGAGAGAAGTTCAAGTGGGTTAGGGAAATGTTTGGGAGGAGAGGTGGGAAAAAGAATGACCTTTTGGGCTAAGTGTTTCTTCTCTTTTCTTCTTGCCTTCCAGGATTATTTCTGATGCTCCAAGATTCCCCACCAGCCCTTCCAAATACTTCCTCTTGGGACCCACTCAGCATTCAGGGTCTGAGACACAGACCGAGTGTCTCCAACCAGGTGTCAACTTTGTGGAAACGATGCCCAGTCCCCCAGACCCCTTCCCTCGCCCAATGGCAGCTGGGGTCTGGCTCCCCTCAGAGACACTACAGTTCCCACCCAGACTCAGACACTAACCCGAAGTGCCTTAGCCCCTTGTCCCAGGCTTCTGCCAGCCACTCAGGAACCCTGTCAACCTCAGACCAACTGACCCATGTGGACACAGAAGGACGAGCAACTATGGTAGATGTGGGTAGTAAGCCAGACACGGAGCGGGTGGCCGTGGCCTCTGCCATGGTCCTCCTGGGGCCTGTGGCCTTTAAACTCGTCCAAGAGAACCAGCTAAAGAAGGGAGATGCCCTGGTGGTGGCCCAGCTGGCTGGAATCCAGGCAGCCAAGCTGACCAGTCAGCTGATTCCTCTGTGCCACCACGTGGCCCTGAGCCATGTCCAGGTGCGGCTAGAGCTGGACAGCACACGCCATGCTGTGGCGATCCAGACGTCTTGCCAGGCCCAGGGCCCCACTGGGGTGGAGATGGAGGCCCTGACCTCAGCTGCTGTGGCCGCCCTCACCCTGTATGACATGTGCAAGGCTGTCAGCAGGGACATCGTATTGGGGGAGATCAAGCTCATTAGCAAGACTGGGGGTCAGCGGGGGGACTACCATCGGACTTAGAGCTCCTGCCCCCTCTCACCCATGGCCCAGATGTGTCAAGAGATGGGATGCAATTTGGGTGGAGGGAAAGATATCAAGTTCCTTGAACTCCATCACTGTTCGCCTTTACCAGTAGGAACCCCAGGTCAGCCCACTCCCTTACTGCTAGAGAACCTAGGTGACCTGATTCTTCCTTTATTCAGAGAGGAAACCAGCAGACCCTTCAGCCTTTCTGGTCATGGGAGGGGCCACAATGAACAATGCCAGACAACAGAAAAATCAGTTGCATTATCTGTGAACTATTTCAGAAAACCAGTTTCAGAGAGTTGCACCCATAACTTCCACTACTCATTTTGGGTTTTCTCTTCTGCTGCTTCTCTCGGGAGAGGATAAGGGCTCACAAAGCAGAGGAACCCACTTTGAAGGGGAAAAGCACAGCTTGCATTAAGAGTGTATGACTATTCTTCGGCAGCTTTGCCTGCCAAGTCCGTGGAGCCCCCTTGCCCCTCTGCCCTCCGTCCTCAGAGGGTCTGGTTCCCTTCAAACTTGTAGGCTTTGGGTTTAACAACTGCATGTCCTGGCACTCCATCGCCTCCACCCCCTCCTCTAATAGGAGACACACGTGGGCTGCAGCCCTGAGGTCGTCTGACCAGCCGCTCATGCCACACATGGCCCAGTGCACTGCTGTTCCACCAACTACCCACCCCTTTACTCCGGAATGTATCAGGGAAAGAAGAGTTGAAGATTGACTTCACTCATACAGCGCACAAAATAAAGCCTCAATGCCAACTTTGGAGACGCAAGAATAAGGACTGTATCTGTGCACAGGGTACCCTGCTGCTAGGATTTCATGCCAACCCCTCAACCCCATCCCAAAGCCCACTCCCCTGGGAAGGAGGAGCAGGAGAGACACTGGAAAGGCTGGAGGGGCTTCTCTTCTATATACCCCCACCTTCCCTGTGGGAGAAGATAGGAGGTGAGTGGGAGGCATGAAAATGCACTGTCTACAGTAAAATGGTCAGGTAGGGGTGTCCAAGGCTCATCACTGGCTATTGGAGACTAGGGGGTGCAATTAGAGGTTCCTATGTTTCAGCCACCCACCCCACCCCAAGCACTAGACTTGGCTGCTAGGTTCTTTAACATGGATAGGCTTCCTTGGGTCTATCTATAGGGACACCCTCTGCCCTACACCCAGGTATGCTGGTGAATGTTTAACAACCAGCTCTCAGTAGAAGAAAAGGCCAAATTCCCAGGAGACTGATTTCAAGCTACGGTGCCACATGAACTTGTTTGCAAGATTCAAAAAAACGTCACAATTGTGCTTTCAGGGCTGGTAGGAGCTGGCTCCAACACCACCAGCTGTACCTGGTCCCCAGCACACCTCAAGCTCCCTCAGGGGAAGAAAGCACAAGTTTCAAGGCAGACTGGGGGGATGGTATGGATTTAATATTTTTTAGTATTACAATATATTCTTATAAAAAAGGTGCAGGTAAAAAGGACATTGCCGATTTTGTACATTAGTCTCATTTGTCATCTGAGACAGCTGGTGAGAGCAGCCTTGGCATGAAGGCGTCGCTGGTACAGGTGGGCAGATGGTCACAGCTCCCCCACTGGTGGGAATAAGATCGGGTGGGAGAGCCCGGACTAGCCCCTTCCCCAGCCACTTGGAGAATTTTCTCCACCTACTGCCCTACACACACTTTATTTCCATCATGGGAGAATGAATGGGTGCTGTAGCTGAGAAGGGGACAAGTTGCATTAGGTTAACTGGATTTTACATCAGACACACAATTAGTAGGAGAAATTCAAAGATTGGCAGGATGGGTGGGAAAGGCACTGGGAAAAGTCCAAGAAGGAAACAGGTGTAAACATATAGTGTATCAAGGACCCACTCAGCTGTCTCCATGGGGCACTGGCCCCTTCTTGCTGAGTCAGCCACAATGGTCCATGGTCCAAGGCACTCTCAGAGACCTGGCCACAGTGGTGTCGTGCCAGAGCCACTGGCCAGATCTTGAAAATAATAAATAGAGAAGAAAAATCTCTGGGGGTGAAAAGCCAGAGCCCTAGAAGAATGTATGTGTCCTCTGTAAACAGTTAAACCAAACTGCTTTTCTGTGGATCCAATGTGTCTTGAACAGCTTCCATATTCCTCGTCTTTCCTGGCACATATCCAGGCTTCCACGGTGGATGGGAATGCCAGGATTTGGGCAGGCCTGTTAGATAGAAGTGGAGCCCTCCCCTGTTCCCTGCCCCTGTGGATCAGGTTGATACCAGACAGCTGGGGAGAGGATGTTCCGAGACCCCACCCACAACCTTCTGATCATCCCAATACCAGCCTCTTGCAGCAAGGGCTTTTAGGTATACAGATGGCTATAACAGCTCTCTGCAGCTGCTTTTCCTGGAAGCTTCATCTTGCCCTCGCCTGGGCTCCAGGATGGCCTCTTCACACATGGGACCAGACTTGCTTTTGCTCAGATCCCTCCCCCTCAAACCAACACACATGCTGGGCCCACCAACCTTGTTTCTCCCCTGGAAACTACTACGGCCCCACCCCCAGGAATCTGATGTAGGGAAAAGACAGGCAGCTGAAGACTGGGCCCAGCCCACCAGCCTGTCCACTGGCAATAGCCCTGAGCCAGAGGAGTAGGTTAGAAGGTGAGAAACATAAAGGGAGGGGCAGAAGGATGGAAGGGCAAGGAACCCTTGGATGAAGGTTCAAGCAGGTAGAGGATGAAAGGTCAAATCCAGGGAGAGAAAATGTACTGAAAATAAGAGCTTTGATGGAGTTGACCTCACCTTCCTTCTTTTAGAAGACAGAACACTGTCTAAGTACAGCCATTGACCCACCCATTCAAGATGGGCAGAACGCAAAATGGGAATGGACAGTGTAAGATGGATAGAATGGAAGGTGGGAGTGAAGAGGAGGACCAGAATGGGCCCTTGGAAGTCAGGTTGAAGAACTAAAGGTATTAATGATGGTAGCAGGACTTCCCCTGGCCACTCCTGTCACCACCTTGTCTCTTTCAGGCAGTGCACTTGCCAGAAAAGTTGGCCTCCCTCCCCTTCCCCATCCACCATCTCCCTAGCTCCCCGGCCTTCTCTGGCCCAAGTCTGAATGCCTCAGGGGAAGAGACATCCTCTGAGATGGCATGTAAATGCAGAGAGCAGTGCTGGCCCTTGGGACCCTCTCAGGAACCGATATCCCAGTTCCAGCCTCAGCCAGATAGACACACATGGTTTGAGGTCTCCTACATGCTGCAGAGTGGAGGTCACTGTGGTTTCTGCCCTGAGGCAGATGTCAGTTTGGGGTCCAAGTAGCGTAATGTGGTAGACTAGACAGCTCTGGGGTGGGGCTAGGCATTCAAGTGCTGCCCTCTGGTGAAAGGCTGCCAGGCACTCCTAGCCAATGAGCGAGGTCACCATCTTACCTCAAGACCATGGTCAATGGAAGGTGGGAGGAGAGTTTCGTTCAAAGATCCCTGTGCCCAAGGCACGAGGTATGGTGATGAGCAGTCTTTGTTGAAACCTCTCCCTTACTAGATGCATGAAATATCTGATAGTGAGCCATAGTTGTGGGAACCCAAAGGTGGGTTTTCTGGGATTCTGGATTAGTAGATAGAACAGAGGTGGCAGTAGGGAAGGAAGAGAGAGAATTAAATGAGGCTTAAATGAGTTGTGATGAAGGAAACAGGCACTGGTACTCTGTGTCCTGATGACTTGGTCCCTGCATCTTCCTCCCGCATCTTTTTCTCCTGGAATCTATCTAGCTAGAATATATAATGCCTCTTCCTTTGCCATCAAGATGAAAGTTGGTTCCCAGATCAATGTTCCATTAAGCCGCCTCTTGAAGGAAGGGGGCCTGGATTCTTTCCCCCTGGCTCTCAGGGCTCCCACCCCACAGACACTGCCCACTGCACATGACCTCTGGACAAGATGCATGGACCTGTCTGGTCTAGATCTCAAACAGTTCTGTGCCAATGTGTGGGCTCCCATGCATGGTGGGGAGCAGGGCCCCTCAGCCAAGCCTGCCAAGGATATCCACATCAGCCTCAGACAGTGATCCCTGGGGGCTGAGGAGCAGAAAGTAATGGGGAGAGGAGAGGACAGAGGAGCCTCCTCAGGTACATGTGGGAGACTCTGGTCCTGCCTCACACAGCCCCCACCCCAGGACCCAGCCCAGGGCTCTAAACTGAGCACCATGGGATTTATGTGTCCCTGCCTCCTCCACTCAGCTGCTCTGGTCCATCCCTGTCTGCTGGCCTCCTGCTGTGGCCAGTGCCCAGGTCAATAATTTAGCCTGTTTATTGCCCGCTCCCGGGTAACTTCCAGGGTCTGGCCCCCTGACCGCTTGCGGCTGCGCTTGAGCTTGCATAAGTCCTTGTCGAAAACCTCCCCGGAGCGCAGGGCCGACACCAGGTCATCGAACTCGCCCCCCTCCTCCAGTGCGCTGCCTGCGTGCACCTTCCGCTGCCGCTGCCATCGCTCCCGCTCCCTCTGCTCCTTCAGCTGCAGGGGTGAGGAGGGAGAGATGGGCTGAGGCCAGAGCAGCCACCTGTAATCTCACTTACAAACCAGTCTCCTCCCAGCCAGGGGCTAACTCCTGGGCTTGCACCTTGACGCTGGGGTTCATCACCTGACCCCACTCTCCTCCTCGATGCCCTGTGCCTGCCCAGCTCACATGCTCTCTCTCCTCAGGCCAAGAAGACCACTCTCCCCACTGAGGGTTGGCATCAGCCCCTACAGTGTTTTTCAGGCCCCGCTCTCCTCACACACACCCAACCACTGGGACCTGCCTCTCTCCCTTCAGGCCCTGCCCACCGCTCACCATGGCTTCCATGCGTGCCCGTCGCTCCTCCTCTTCCTTCCTCCTCCTCATGGCCTCCAGGTCCTGCCGGGCCTCTGAGAAGGCCTGAAGGAAGGTGTCAAAGATGCCGAAGAATTCATCTGGCTGCATCTTGCTGTCCTGCTCCCCAAAGTGCATCAGGGCCTTGGAGAACTGTTGCGAGGAAAAGGGATGTTGGAGAGCCCCCCCTGAGTACCATGGGCCTAGGCCACATGGTTAGCCGGGTGCCAACCAGGGCAGAGCCCAGCCCAAGAGTGGGGGACTTTGGTATGGAGTCAGGGCTGGAGAAGGGGAGACCTCCATTATCATCAGGGTCAGGGCAAGGCTGAGGGGAAGGGCAGAGGCATACACCCTGGGACATGGGCATCCAAGCTGGCCAATGAGGATGTCCAGAGCCATTTCTGGGTCTATTGTGGTGTGGGAATGGGATCTGGAGCTACAGACCTTGGGAAGTAACTGCCTGGTCAGAACTCAAAATGACTTCAGAAATCATGTATTTATTGGGCTAATTATTTAACCTTTTTGTGCCTGTTTTCTCATCTGTAAATGGTAATAATAATAGAACCTACTTTATAGTGTTGTTGTGGGCATTAAACCAGTTAATAGATGTAAAGTGCCAACTATCATTATATGCGCCAGGCACTCACTGTTCTTTAATGAGAACTACCATCTCTAAACCACTCAAAGTCCTCTAAGAAAGACCTCATTACTCAAAGTACACTCCATGGACCAGCATGGGTATCCCCTGGGAGCTTATCAGAAATGCTGAACCACAGGCCCCATTCCAAACACCTGAAGGAGGATGCACATTTTACTAAGACTCCCACAGATGAGGCTGATGCGCATATAGTGTGAGAAGCAGGAAGATAGCAACTGAGACCAAAGCTGAGATCCAGAGTCAGGATGCTAACCCAGCTCTGTCTGTCACAGCTGGGAAACCTTGAGCTAGTTACTT